GGCGAGCCGCAGCCAGCCAAAATGCCTAACGTTGCCTGGCACGTCGCCTTCTGGAGCCCACAGTTGCCTGGCACGTCACTTTCGATGCCCAGTTACCTGGCCCAGTTGCCTGGCAGCTGAGGTGTGCCTATAAGGCAGAATGCAGCCGACGGCCACACCTAGAAACGGCACCTTCGACACACTCAGAAAACGGCGCTCTGGATCTGCTTGGCCTGGGCAACTGTTTCACCCTGCGGTGTCCCCGGCGCCGCCCCGCCTGGGCGTCAGCTAGGCGATATAGGGATGCCTTACTGTTGAGTTTGGATGGCATCCCATGTAAGAGGACCTATTCTAGGGGATTCACTTCAGAGGCAAACGGAAGGGTGGTGCACAGAAAGGGTTTTGCAAAAACCTATTCTACTAACATCGTGGAAGGCGCGGGACATTCGTAGAACCCAAGGCTATTCGTGGACAGTTCGTGGAATGGTGGGCCAGTAGGAGAACTGACTGCAACGAAATCCAAGAAACCTTCGCAGAACTTCGTGGAAGGTATTTTTGATGCACTAACTTCGTATAAACGATTTTTGTTGACCCCCCCTCCATTTAGCCTTCATCATTGAAGACGGGTTAGATCTTGATCACACCTGTTCAAAGAGATACCAGGAAAAGGACGGTGTTGCTGTAACTAGAATCAACTGATGGGATTGTTGATTTTATGTTCTGATTAACTGAGGTGTACATCCAATATTCCGAAACTCATGCCGTTCTGTTTGACCCTATATCGAAGGAGGAAGCACCGGCCTATATCGGTAACATGACCCGCAGAAATTCACTGAAACGGTATCCCGGTATCCAAGTGTGACTTGGCACTCGCCCCTTGCTGGCTGGGTAGACTGGCCAACTTTCCGAAGCAAACCCAGGGAGGTGTCCCGATTTTAGATAGGCACCCAAGTTGAGTTTCTATAAGAGTACCTTCAATTAATCATGGAAGTGGAAAATCGCCTCTTGGATGGACGGCCAGTTTCTATAAACAAATGGTTCTCCCCTTCCAAGATTCAAGGATTTTTCCAATCACTGAAACCCCTCTTCACGACTTCACGACCCTGTTTTTCGGTCTATCTCGGTTGGTACGGAAAGGAAGACGGAAGGAGATTCGAAAGTCCTTGACAGAAACCGCAAGCCTTCAGGCCAGCCCGGGCCAATACTTGACACAAGTAGTGGTTTGAGACAACTGGCGGGCGGGATATGATATTACAGTAACAGATGTTTGGTATAGTTGAATGGGAATAAGGGTCAGAAGGGGTTAGATAACATATGTCAACATGCTTTTGTGAATTCGTTGATTGTCAAGAGGAACAAGTGATGATTTCAACACGACAAAAAATCCCGAAGATGGCTGTGTCTTTAATAGGAGGGCCCCTAACAGGCATTTTGGTGTGTATAGTAATAGAATATAGATATATATATATATACATAATTATATACCTGGACCTTCAAGGGGTGTCCAATGGAGGTCCCTTAGTGGTGTAGGGGCTTCCATTGGTGACCCCTTTGAAGGTGCTGGTATATATATATATATATTGATATTATATAGGTGATCATTGTTTGTTGAACTATGGAAGCGGATAATGGTCCCTTGGAGCACTATATTCGTCATTTTACAAACAGGCAAGCAAGTTTCCGCTTCGTGTGGAGTTGGAGTGGTATGAAGCGACGTCACTTTGGGGAGACACCACACCCCGAAAGTGAAACTTGCAGGACAAAAACTATAGAGAACAACATACGAGCACCGCCCTCCTTACCGTGTTTTTCCATCCAACAATCAAGCACCCTTTCTGAAGACCTGCAGAAACCGGACCTGCCTGCAGAAACCGGTTTTGTCCAGCCTCTCCAGGCCTTATTGTTCGCCTGGATGCCAATGGCAACCCGATGTTTCTGGGCATCGAACATGGGGCCGCATGCTTCGGCCCCAGGCAATCCGCTGAACCTGGGGCAGGGAGTGCGAGAACCTTTCTGATGCGCATTTCCATGGGGGTGTTGGGCCCAGTCTTGGACTAAGAGCCTTGATTATCATGGTTTTATCTATGTTCGAACCCGGCACCAGTGTTTTTCACCGATGCTGAACGATCACCCATGGAGGTAAAACCGCCACCGGTGGTTTCAGTATGCCACAAGAACATCACATAACCTTGAGCCCTCAAAGGGGAAACGCAGTGAAGGTGCAAGAGGACCATGCCCTGATGTGTAATTGTACATGTGTTTCTTGGTCATACCAGGGGGGTTGGTCTCAACATGTCTCAAGAGTGTTGTTCCCGCCCTCACTGGGGTTCTTAACTCTACTCCAAGAATCTGAAGTCACACCATCCAATGGGCCAAGTCTGACCCACGTCAAATTGTCCCTCAGCAGATGCGACTCCTAAACCAGCTGAACGACCAGCGACCTGACATCGACCAGTTCCATCCGACTGAGGTATAACGGTGCCAGTGACCTGAACGGACTCAAAGTGGTGGACGTGGTGGGCTGGGCCCCAACAGCGGACACCCTGGCCTTGGTGGCTTGGCTTAGGGGCGAGACGGGTAGCTGGCTCGATGTTCAGCGCATTGTGGGACGAAGCTTCCAAGATGGAAGATCCCAGACCATCCCATGCAAATGTCACTGCAACACTTGGTCACATTATAGGGTCATAAATGGATATCAATGGGGTGCCCGGTACATGTATTAGTAGTTGTTCTGGCTTCTGGCTTAAAGAGATCTAGATTCTCCCGCTCTCTAAATTGGATGGCCAATTCCAGCGAGATTTCCCCGCAAAAAAGGCAGCATTTTTTTTGGGGGGTTGAGCCAGAGTAACAAGTGTTTGACACCCATTTTGCAATCATTTGTCCAATGAGGCATGCAATTCCATTATGTTGAAAACATAAACCCGGTAATATGCATAAAGTAAGGAAGGTTCCCAGAGGTTCAGAAATAGCTTGGCCACCGCTTGGTATTCTGTTGCTTAACTTGGAGATGCTGCCTTGTTGCAATAGCAAAACGCAGGGTTGCGCTAGGTTTGGCGCTAGGTTCAAATACTTAGGTACGGTAAGATTAACAAACAACACATACACACATTGGCAATAAAACTTGTTGAGGTATGAACGGACAACCTGGCCGTTTTGGCTGTGATTGGTTTATGTGTGCAGGCCACCGACACCCATCCAGTGCGGGCATGCTCCCATTGTGTTTCGGATTTTTTGTGCGAGGAAGAGCTATTGTATAACGATTTCAAAGCTAGGAAAGCCGGCAGACCGCAACGCGTGCTCTTGATGACAGCCGTTAGGTGGCCTGACGCACTGGCAGGGGAGCGCGCTAGATCCGCGCTAGATGTGCGCTAGACCACTTTGCAACTTTGACCACTTGGCCAACTGCTTACCAGGGCTACTACTCAATACACTAGAGGCATGCACACAAGCGGATTGCCTGCACGATGTTACGTTGCACTGGGGTGATGAGAGTGAGTGAAAAGACGAGAAGGGCAGCTGGGGTGGGGGGCTTTGTATGCACGAATAAAGAGAGGAATGATAGGCAAATCATCTATCATATCGACGACCTGCTTATAAGAGGACTGCTACTTTCAGTTTCACATGTGGAGCCGTACGACCTGTAAGTCAGAATGCAGCTATGAAAGGGGACGCACAACATACAACCATATACATGAGCAGATGTCTACATGAAAGCCACCGCTTGGAATTGCTGTGATTTGAAACTAGGATAATGATTTTAGAACGGGATTTTTTTTCAGCTCCAGTGATGTAGAGGGTCAGAATTCATCTCAAGAAATCGCATTGGGCACGCAGGATTGACTAGCCTGTGTTGTCGTGGCTACTGCTGCATTTATTACCGAAGAAAGCCGGTTCCATGTGTATGGTGCGGAGTACCTCCAAGGAAGCTTCCTAACCTTTCCAAACGCGTCTCCGTCACCTGCGTGTTCCTCCTGGCTTTTGTTTCCCCCTTCTCAGGTATGTTTCAATAGAAGAGCGATTGAAAGGAAGGTTGAAAGAGGTCTTGGAGAGAAGAGATTCGATAATTTATATTCAAAAGAAGAGAGGGATGCTGGCGCCCACATGAGCCACTTGAAGCGGCTGGCCACTCCAAGTGGCCGATGCGGCCATATCAAAATGTCCCCGCATTGCACGTCCTCTGAGAAATCGTTTTGCATGTTGGGCCCCCGGCGGAGTTTTCCAGTCACTCTTCAGAGGTGAGTGTTTTTTTTCAGAGCCTGCATCACCAGGTGCACAGAAGATTGAATTGCCCACGCAGGTGGAGAACAAGTGCACCAAGAGCCGCTTCACCGGCTTCACCATTGTCAATCCCACCGTGAGCACAGGGAACGCCAACCAAGACGCCCTGACGACACTGATGAACGGCGATGCAGATGCGATGTGGGTCTATGCCGATCAGGCGGCTGACTTGTCAGCTGGACAGCGTGCGTCCAAGAGTCGTTCGAACAATTAAAGTGGTTGAGGGCCGCGCCTCAAAAACCCTCCATGTTTGGATTTGGTTTATTACGTTTTGCGTTTTTTTGGAGCAACAGGATGATGCTTTTGTGGACCCTTGTTCTCTGGGTTGGCGCAGTGGACATTGAGATAAAATTCCCAAAAACAAAACTGATCGAACCATCGAATGATGGACGATGTGTCGGAGTGGCCAGTGAAGCAATGATGCAACCACACATGGGTTGTATCCATTGTTCCTGTTGCCAATCAAGTTCAGTTCATGCATTGACAGTCTTATTCACAGTACTATCATGTATTATCCTTTCTTGTGCGATTGATCGTTTCTCCTGGGATGTGTCGTGGCCCAATTTTGTGAGTCAAACTCAGTCCACTTGGAGGCCAAGAACTACCAGTGCACCGACGGCATGACACCCAATTGGGATTGCACCATGTGGGCCGGCTTCGGCACCACCTTCGCCTACATCCAGACAGGCCGGGTTCCCATGGTTCTCCCATGTTCGTCACTTGGCCAGCGTAAGAAAAGGATCCTGTTGGAGACGAGGAACATTGTCATCCCCGTAGTAGCGAGCATTGCTCCTAGTACGTAGTATGTCCAGGAGCTCCCTAGTAGCGTCCGATCGCTCCTAGTAGTAAGGCCAGGAGCCCCTAGTAGCGATTCTTGTTCCTAACGGATCATTTTGTGAACCTGCAGGTTTATACTTGACCACGAAGTGATTTCCATTCCAAGATCTTCCACACTGCCGACACGGGCCACCCAAACCCCCGCGTTCTAGGGCGATCCACTTCCCGCGTTCTAGGCGGTTTCCTGTCGTGTGGTTTCCGGTGCTTGTTGACAGGTCTCTTTGGCCATGCGAAGGGAGGCACCACTTTGGCCATGTCTAAGAAAGGCTCTGGGCGACTTGGAACGATGTGCTCTAGGAGGCCTTGAGACGACAGAGTTCCCGTGGTCAGGGACAAGGAACGCTCCTTTTGTGTGAGGTGGGCACTTGGAAGACGACCCACGTCCCCTGAACTTCGACATCATATATCGTTTTGAAAGTCAGGCTAGATCCAGCAGAGTGGTGTTAATGACTGGTCACTTGGTGGGCCAGTCTTCCTTTTGACTCTTCTCGGCGCCGTCGCCTGCGATTTCGCGCCTGGATTCGTCACGTCTTCCGTCCAGTCTGCCGTCTGCCGTGGTTTTCGTCCACACGTCGACGGGAGATTGATGACCAGTCCGCCACCGGAAAGCATCCGGAAAGCAACGAACGGAGCATTTCGGGCATCGCTATCGAACGGGAACAAGAACGCTAGCTATACGGGGCTCCTGGCACTTACTACGAACGGAGGCAATGTAAGCTAGTAGAAACAATGCTCAGAGTAAAAGCACCAGCTTTCCATGGGGATTGGGCAACTCAACTCACGGGACTGCTCGTCCTGTCGTCCGGAGTGGGACGGGATGTGGGACTGGGTGTTCTACCGCAACACAAGTTGGACTGGACATGGTCGGTCTGGAAGGCAGGGATTGGAGTTGGAAACCGTATAATTCGTTGGAATGCCATTTGTAGGTGCGGTGGATGCAAGAGTTCGTTTGAAGACTCTCAGAGCTTTCATGAATGAAACTCTGGCGACAGTATTGGCCAATAGCATGGATGCTCCTCGCGAGTGAAAACCTTTGGGGGTTGTTCACCGGGTCAAAAGGCAGGAATCAGGACTTCCTCCTTGGCTTGCCCAGTTTGGGCCAACGCATACAACCCAGGCTGGCCTCCATCTTGAACCCCTGCATTGCGTTGTTCAAAGAGACCAAGTCTTACTATGACATTTGCGTGAAGCACGCATCTTGCAGCAAAGAATAGTACGTATTGCAAGAACGCACCATACTATGTGTTTGTCTTCGATGAATTCAGTGTGACTATGCTATGTAGCTATATATATATATAATATAGCTATACTTTGTAAATCCATGTGCAGCCCCCAAAGCCAGCTTGGTGATGGGAGCAAGAACCAAGGACATGGTCGCCAGTTGCTTCCAGAACTCCCACTTCCCTGCCGGCGACAATACAACCTTGGTCTATGAGACGCCCACGGATCAGCTGACCACTACATGTGCTCAGGGTTACCCGGCAAAGGACCTGACACTGAAATGAGATGAGATGAGCAGGTGGTTCTGGTTGCCCCATTACTAAAGATTAACAATATGTAATGTTTCTTGGGTGATTTCATGGGATTTCTATTTTATCCATAAGGCTGAAACTTACTTTGGGGTGCTGAAAACAAGGGACAAGTTTTGAGTAACTACGGCAGCAACTCCAGTTCTTCTTTTTGGTATGGACTCTTTGGATGCATCAAGCATGCGATTCTTTTGGTCCCATTCGCTTCCAAGGATACTGCCCCTGCCCGGCGGTCTGAGTTTCACAGACACCACACGACACTGCTGAATCCATTCCGGATGGGGGTTCCCAGAATGCCGCACCCAGCTTGCCGCACCAGCGCGCTTATGTGACACAACCAGAATGCCGCACGTTAGCATACGCTCGCACCGCATGGTGGACACCGATCGTCGGTGGACCAACGCCACCCGACCTATCTTTGTTTTCTGCATGAAAACGGCATCCAAGCACGAGGACCTTGCAAGGCTAGGAGTTTCGAACACCTTGCAAGGCTGGGGATCACCATTGACATGATCATCAAGACATGATTGTGAAAAAAGGACCATGGCCAACTAGCTGCTAGCTAAGTTTGCTCAAATGACTGTTTTGAAAGCACATTGGGAGAAGGCCATGTTTCACGGTTGCGGTTGCCTTGCAACGAGCGGCGCTTTGGGAGCCCGTCCGCGGCGGCGTTCTTTCGCGGTCCGGAGATCGCCAGCGGCTGCTGTCGCTGGCGGAGCACCACACCCTTCGGGGGCATGTTTCATTTTGATCCTTTGATGACAGCGATCTCGTGAATCCTCAAGAACTCGCTACCAAATAAAAATGATTTGGTAGCGCAGTCCAGTAAGAAACACTCATGAGTGTTCCTTGATCCAATTCCTTCAGGACCTTGAATTGTTCGAGACTTCAATTGTTGTTTGCAGTGCTCTTCTTTGATACAGCGATGCTGGTTTGTTTTGCTGAGGATTCAATCCTTGCTTTGGCGTGTCGAACTCCCCTCCTGCTACAGGAGCCGAGTTCGATGCGCAATAGAAGCTGATGCAAGCAGTGCAGACAATGCACCTATCCTGAACGAAAAAGAACGTGGAACGATGGGATCCCCTCGGATCCCCTCGGGCCTCAGTTGAGAGGGGTGTTTCTGGTCATGACTTTGAACTCCACATCATACCCAGGTACTCCATGCATGGAATCATATTCCTACATGGTCACACACTGACCTCTGAAGCCACCCGAACTGATCAGCAAAAATTACAGTAAGCCACGCATGGAGTGCTTTGGGATTGCTTTAGGGTTCCTCATCCGGAACCCGCCTCCAGTCGGATCCTTTCCCACCCTTGGTGGAATACGTGGCATGGATGTACTAGTGGTGGTGGCTTTCTGGACCACGTTTTGGATACATTCGGACATTTCTTGAACAACCACAAAGTGAACACATAAGTGACAGAAAGCTTAGAAACAAACCTTAACCAAAGCTGTGCCAAGCACTGTTTTTAAGAACAGGCTCAGTACGGTCAGGTGGCAGTCAACACCTTCGTCCCGATCAAGGCGCCAAACTAGTCACCCTGGTTTTGTTTGGTTCTTGTTGTTGATGGCTCTTAAAAACATCACCAGCTAGTATGTGGCTGAGTGGGCTTCTTTCGTAGGGGAAAAGGTCAACGTGCGGTGTGTTTCTTGTGTATCACTTTGGGCCAACATGATATCATGTGTTTCCCGACCCCAACATGTGATCCTTGAGAGGTTCAAGAGTGTGGAAAAACATCTGGGACGCCGATCTTGATCTCGCCAGGCCGTCGAAGAGATTCCGGAGGCCAATCGGCACGATTCCGTCGAATTGGCACCTCCAAGGCCAATCGGATCCAACGAGGGACCTTGAGATTTCCACCATGTTTGACTGGAAGACTGGAAGACCATATTTCCTTCATACCGGAAGACTGGGGGGTGCAGGGTGTCCGCTGCAGGTAAAGGAAAGGTCCAATTTGACCCAGATTGGTAGATGTTCCAAAGCATTCGTTCGTTCCACTAAGTGCTTGCATTCAGGTTGTTGGTGTGACCAGATCCAGATCCAAATAACCAGACATCGTCAAAGTACTACCCACATCAACAGTACGGGCATGTAGAGAAAATGTAGTGAATGTAATATATGTATATATGATATATTAAGTATTAAGCATGATTCAATTATCAACATTTCCCATTGCTTGTACGCATTACTATATTACTTGTACGCATTGCTTTCACACTATACATTCCTGTTCACTAACAGAGACATGGACACTGGCCACTGAAGCAAACCGGCAATTGCATTTGAGAAGTGAACAAGTAACTTCAAGCAACTAACTATTGCTGAAGGCAAAAAGCAGAATCACCACGAACACAAACTATTTACATTCCAGAAAGCTCCCACCAGATTGACCTGCCGAATACGGAACCTGACTGTGGCTCTTTTTGGATGTCAAAGTGATTTGGGAGATTTTGGACGATACATCAAGCACTGGCAGTGCGTCTTTGATTCTGTGGGGATCAAAACGCCCCTCCGTTATGACGTATACATGGAGGTACGCGCAAATGCGAGGAGACGCCTGAATGACCCCGAAAAGGTACACTCTGGCTTACTATTATAGTATATATATATGTACCGGAAGACTCCTTTACGAATGTGTTCTTCAACGCTCATGACCTGAATGAATCGTCCAAACTGCTCAGTGGTTGGCCTTGAAGCACCCCTGAGTGCCTGCTTGACCTGTAGTCACGAGGAAGACCTCCTCACCTGCTTACGTTACGTAGTACATTATGATATGGAAAGCATTATCCCCCTGGTTTAGCAGACCACACAAGTACTCCACTATTTCATATTTATCACTATTTAGCAAACGAAGGATTTGCCACTAGGGTCTTAGTTTAGCCCACAACCCTCCACAACTCTCTTGTTTGATTTGTTTGATTAAGGTGTTTTTTTTTTTGGTATTGTGCTTGTCAAGATATGTCAAGATATAAGCAGCGAAACAGTTTCCATTTGAAGTCTCATTGTCATTGGTTGTGCACAAACAGATGAGATCCTCGGGGCACAGCTTAAGAGGGCGACTGAAAAGGCCATTTTTTAACTGTTCGGTTCGGATCCTTCGTCTGGGCGGTCTCCCTCACTCGGCTGGTCTCCCCTTCGTCGCTCGACTCGGCCGACGTGGCTGTCTGTCGGCGGTTGATGGACACATCGCCAGGCTCAGAAGGTCACTTCAGAGAAGAAACCTTCCGAGAACTCCTTCGCAGCTTGGCGCAAAGGACTGGCAGGCAGGCAGAGGAGGGCGGCGAAGCAACAGGACTGGCAGGTAGTCTGTCTTCGATGGTCTACTTCGGATTGGCAAATGAACACCACAGGCCACAGGCCTAACATGGCCTAACAGGGGTGTTGGATTGAAGGTGTTTTGGATCCTGTAGAGGAATGTACTGTACTGTACCACTGTACCACTCTCAGTTCACCACTGGAAGCCGTGTGTTTATGATCTCGATGGGTCTCAACCAGAGGTTGGACATTCTCGGACGCGATCCTGAGTTGTGCGGATTGGGTGTGTCTGGGTGAATCCCCATTGGTCCCTCTGGGTGAATCCCCTTCACCAAAAAAACATATATAATATAATGAGGCAACCTTTCATACAGATTCGCAATTCTGCGGAATTGACGTTGTTCTTGCTTTTTCCCAGTTCCTTAATTAGTAAATCAAAGTAAATCCAGGATCCCCGCAATCAGGACATCGCTGCCATGAAGGATTCCAGACCATCCATGTATGGAACAGTTACCTTGCATATGTTTAGGCTCCAAGTTTGATTCGCAGCATCTCACAGCCATGTGATTGCATATGCAACCATTCCAGTCCCATGGATGGCTTCGGATCTTTTTCAGTGCGGCTCATTGATCTACTCCTCGGGCGAGTTTGCTCGCCCAGGCCCAGTGGTTTGACAGTGCCGGCCTCAGTTTTGCGCAGTTTTTGTCCATCAATCACTGAAAGAATCATTGGACAAAGGATGAACATGGGAAGATGTTTCTTGGATGACCATGAGATCCGAATACCAAGCAGCCGGTTTCCCATATAAAAAATATACTATATATACATAATGCCCCATGATGATTTCGAGTGTAAACTCAGTGTGTCTCGTGTTTCGATGTTCAGGTGCCACCATGACCGACAGCCGTGCTCGGAACACTCACGCTGACCCGGACTTCTGGAAACACGGTCGACAAGTGCTGATGTTGGTCAATAACTCTTCAACTGGTGGGATAACAATGGGATATACGATGATATATCACTGGTCCAAAAATATTAGCTAAACTCTTTGACTTTTAGTCATTGGTAGTGAGATATTATATACCTGGAGACGCCACTGGCAGACAATTTCTTCCGCCTCATCAGCCTCAATAAATTTATTCCGCTTGAATAATTTATGCCCTTTCAAAAACTACATAAAAATACCTTGTGTTTCAGCGGGTTGCCTATTTCAGGCCTGTGGGATAGATGTGTTCTCTTGGAAGCTCGCCAAAAATGCGCAGGAAGGACTTCAAGCTAATTATTTGCAAACCCTCCAAAAAAGCACCAAACAACTATTACGCCGTTTGGTTGGGAAATTACGCCGTTTCTACAATGACATGTTTTTAAACATCGTCCACAGAGGGTTTCCAACCTGGCGTTTGATAGATGTGTTCTCTTAGCTTGAAACCCTAACTTCTCAACCGCACAATCTTCATCAAAACCATAAAAGTGCAAAAACTTCCGCCTCGCCAGATTTATGCCGTTTCAAGCAAGACTAGTTGAATAGTAAGTTTTGGCCGTGACCTAAGTAATTTGCACCCCGGTTTCCATAGGTATATACCCTGCATGGAAGTGGGGCTGGACGTTTCCAACGAATCCGTGACGAGAAAGCACCGAGTGAATCGGGCGACGAAGAAGGGCGACGAATCGTGCTTAGGACCACGTTGTCAACATGATTTCCAGGACATTCCACATGCATCACAGCAAAGAGCCTCTAAAGAAGAACGCACACCTTATCGTTTGTTGTTTGTGTCGGATGTTTTTCCACTTGTTTCCTATATTGCAACGGCCAAAATTGCGGAATTCGACAAGGCCCATCCATGCAAGTCGCGGCACACCAATACGCTGCGCAAAGAAACACAATCCCCGGCAAGTGCAGCATCTCATATGCCAGAACTTATTCATAGAATTATCATAGAATCTTTCACGGAAATTCCAGTGACAGGCACAATGGAAATCGTGAGTATCATGTTTGAGTTGACAAAAATACGCAAGAACACACGACCCAGATAGCAAAACAACATGTTCGCACCTTTCGAGCCCAGGTTCCAAAGTCCACATGGCCCACATGGCCACCTCACAGCAGCACCCTGGAGCAGCAGCACTCTGCAACAGCGCCAGCACTCAGGCGAACAAAGGCACACACGGCCATAGACAGCTGGCAGCGGCACCAGCACCCAGGCTCTAAAATGCCCACTGCCGTAGACTACATCTGGCAACAGCACCGAGGCTCCAAAGCGCACACAGGCACCTTTTCATTTCCTAAACTTGAAGTAAGAACATTGTCAAAAGTTCTCGCTATCTGGGGCAAAACGACACCCTGGGCAAACACCGGCCAGGCTTGATGTATTTGGTTTGCTTCGTTTGCATCCTGCTCGTGCGGCGCTACATCCCTGGGGCCAGTAAGCACTGGAACGGCTGCCCAGGTCAAGAGAGTCCGAGTCGGACATGGGATTGATTGGATCTTCCAAAAACGGGATGCCCTCGGCATTTAAGAAAGCCTTGCAGATAGAGCGGGACGCTTGATATCTGGTCCTTCTACGTCATGTATCAACATGTCGTGAGGGTTACTTTGCCCTAAGACTTTGGAGACAATTTCGTATCCGATGGATGGATTGGACGCGGACGGTGCGCCAAGGTTTTGCCGGACGCCTCACATTTGTGTGGGAACCTTGGTCTTGGTGACCTTTGTGCAATGTACGGGTGCCCGGTCATGCGATGGGAGGCATGCGTGGGCCATCCTGGGAGGCATGCTGTGTTTCAGGAAGGCTTCAGTGTCACAGACCCAGCTGAACACATGTATTTTCTCGGCCAACTCAGAAGGGTCTAAGCAATCTTCCACACAAGTCACGAAAGCTAGCCTCAGCTAGTTGGAGTCGCTCTTGCTTCGCAGTGGCTAGCCGGGCCAGCTTTCGTTCACCCCCCCGGCCTCAAGTAGTGGATGTCCTGAAAGTTGGCAGGTGATAATCACTTGCTTACGCGGTGAAGAAGCCGCCGCGCGGAGCCCCCCGAAGTTTTGCCTGCCCAGGTGGCATGTCGGTGTGGCGTTACAGCCACCCGGCCTATGTGGCCCAGGAGCGAGACACTCACCCAAAAAGGTTTGAGAGTGTTTTGTCCGTTTGGTGGCCTATACAGCATCCTGCTGCAGACTGGATGATGTCAGAAAGAGACTGAATTCATAATCATTTGCGTGAATCCCGTTCTTGGCTTCCTCAAATCTCTCCAGGCTTCTTCTCAGTCTTTGGCCCTGACCGAAGATGTGAACATCGCAGGATCAGAAGGTGCAGACCATGCAAGCTTATCCTCAACAAGATACCTTTCCTCAACAAGATCCAGTGGAGGCTCATGCGTTTTCCGGTGTGTCGATGTTTCTACAAGCGTCTACAAGTACCGTAAATGATGCTTCAATGCTCAGCCTTGGCGCGTTCGATCGAGAACGTGAAAGGCTGAAGTCTTGCCGACCATTTGCTTGGGTTCAAAGGATAATAGGTATAGAATGGTATAAAGAATGGTATAGATTATCGATATAGTAAACCCCGGTTGGATGTTTCTGCCAGACACGGAGGGACATGTCCATTATGACTCATTCAACTGGCGGGGCTCGCACAGCCACAGACAGGCGGTGCAAGTTGAGGCTGATGGAGAGGAGCCTTTGCTTATCCTGACAAAACCAGGACACACAACAAAATAATATAACAAAATGAGCACGACAGCAGGACATTCTATATAATATCATCGTTGCCACCGACAATCTAAATGGATTTGGTAGAGCATTGTTTCCATTTTCTCTTACTCATTTAGTTTAAGCTAATCTAAGATGGGTCTTATATAAAATGTATGTCACCGACAGATTTCTTGGTTGGTCAAACTATAGCTAATAGCTTCAAGATTACTTTGACGAGAATGGACGTTTTTTTGTTTTTAATGGTCCAAACTAAGTCTGACTTGTAAGACCTTTGGTTTGTTTCAAGTCATTCTAGTTGACCCATGACTCAATATAAAATGGGGTGTGTGCACACGGCCTATTTGGTGGCCTATTTGGTGTACACATTTGCTCTGACGGGTCCTCGGTTGCTGGTCTCTCCATTCCCATCAGGCCGACGAGGTCACCTGGTGGACATGTGCTAGATTCACTCATTCGAAAGAGGGTCCCAAGACGAAACATGTGCAATTGAAACACTTTAAAGCCCTCCAAAACACAGTTTTACTTTAAATACCATACCAAGACTTTATTTTCTCATCACGAGTATCAATGTCCTCGAGTCCACAGGACGTGGTTCCGAGCACCAGCGTCGGGGCCTGCAGCGAGGTCGCTCGGGCGGGTTTTCCAACGCGTCGCCCAGGGCGGCAGGGCGGAACGTTGGCTTTGTTGTGGGCCATGTGAGCCACACCCAACACCTGGGCAGGTTGTAGCTCATGATATCGGATAGGGAAGATCCAGGGAGCGGATTGAAGCAACTTCAGAACTTTGGACAATGCAACGCAACGTAGGATCATGTAAGATTCTTAGAGCTTGAGGTCACCGAAAACAGATCAAACTTTGCCCCCTTTTCTCTCACTGCCACGCACAGCGCTGCGTCAACATGAAACAGGTCCTCACTGAAATGGGTGTGTATTCGAATAGGGAGACCTCCAACGAAAAAGGTCCCCACGCAAGGTTGTTCGGAAAATAGACCAGTCTACCCAGCCACTGGGCTAGGTACAGGGGTCTCCCTCTTCCATCAGTCAGATCGCAGGTGCGATCACCCATGGACTTCGGTGCCAAGGGCGATGGGCACCAAGATGATTCAGAGTTTGTGAGGCAGCGAACCTCTCTGAACCTGAGCCGTCCTGCGATCACCCGTGGACGAAACATCGGCGGGTGTCGGGACGTGGGTCGTGTTTCGTCCTGTTTCGTGCGGTGTTCTCTTGGAGTTTTGATAGCTAGTGTATGCTTTTGTACATATGTAAGTGTACTGTATATAATATATGATATATGTATATGAGTTCGAACTTTAGATTTGTTTGTAGATAATTATGGTTTATTCTGTATTTAGACATGATAGAAGTTGATCATAGATGGTAGGAGCGGTATCCTGTTCTCGACTGTTTTGGGTGGTTCCAGGTCAGGTCAGGAAAATACACTTATCATCACTTAAAGAAGAAGGCTAAACACTAACGAAAGATTGATCTTTTTAAAGACTCCAACCTACTGAGAATCGCGATCCGGCCTAGCAGCCTGTCTCAGTAGGCCCAGAATCTTTAAAGCTTAAATCTCTGGCCTTGATCCAGCTTTGCAAGAACATCTTTGTGACACGTCATAACTTGCACTGGATGCTTCCTTGTGAACTGGAGGCAAAATGACCTAAAGAACCAAGAACTATAGAGAAGCTCACATTCATCATCCCTCATTTTTTGATTCGTGGCACCTTACCAACTGAAACAAGAGGGGTGAAGATCCAGCATCTTTAGTTGACTCAATGTTGACGCTCTTGGACGACTAATTAGGGTCCCTTTTTGAGTAACCCAGATAGAATGAACATGTCCGACATGTCCCACTTCTCGCCAGACACCAATTTTTGGCAGCAGTCCCCGACGGAGACTATACGTAACCATCCATGGGACTAGAATAGTTACCCTAATGTAGGATCCCCCTTGGTTGCGCCATACTGAAATCCTAGGGGTAGACGTGACTATTTCAGAAATAAAAAAACTAGCGAAACAATTCGCTGATAAGGAAGTCAGGTAGGACCCAGGAAAAAAAACAAGAAATGGGGCTCTTTTGAAATCCTTTTGCTCAGGGTAAGGCGCCAGGATTCCAAAAACACGTAAGACTACAGGATTTCACTAAAATTGTAGGATTTCACAAGGTAGAGATGCTGGGGTTGTGCTAAGACTTTAGATATTCTAGAGATACTGGAGAGGACGCTTTTTGCTGTGGCTGTGCTTGTGCATTTGCTTTTTGCAGCATTTATCTGCTCGGCTGATAGATACACATGCTGTATATACAACATAAGATTGCAATCAATTTAATCAAATGATGGCTTGCGTATGGGGCCATGTAACCATTTGTTTTTAAATGTAAACAATGGTACAGTCGCATTTTTTGGAGTGGTAGCTGACAAAGAATTCGGGCCATGTCTTTGCAAACACCAGAGTCAGACACCAGAATTGGAGTCCTGCAGTGCGGTGCGCTTGGAAGGGGATCAGCTTAGGTAGATACCCAGGATTTTACTAAACGTTTGATCAGCCTGGACTCCTTGTTTTTTCCTTGGTTCCCAACCCCCTGAACACACGTCGGTCCAAAGGATTTTACAAAAAGCCCCCGTTGGGAAAAAAGGCTAGGGAACCAATGAAAAAATACAAAGTCACCTTGGTTCAGTAGGATTTTAATACGTAAAATCCTGGGGATCTACCTTAGCGGTCGGTACGAAGGGGGATAATGTAGGTAACTGTTCCACACATGGATCTTTTTGGATGCCGGACCATGTTTGATGAATAGCAGACACCATGCAGACTCCCACCACTACTCCATAAGCCTCCGCACGCGAAAGCACGCGTGAGCTTTTTCCGGCGTCACGCAGGGAAGCCATTTGGCACGGCATCCGCTGCAATACCACTGTGCTCATTGGGCCCTGGAGGCGATTCACGATTGCACCGCGGCAACAGCAACGGTACTCCGTAGCCCAATCGGTAGTTTGATCTATTTTCCGAACCTTTCAGAGGGGTCGTTGCCTGGGAGGTCTACTTTTGTACCAGCATCCTACCTCACAGGTCAATTGAAACCTGTTAGGGCCCAACCCTCAGACCTGTGAGAGGATGCTGGTAGATGGGTGTGCATTCATTGAATAGGGAGACACCCCAAGTTATGGTTTTCACTTCTTTCTCCTCTTTACAGATTGAAGAAGGTGCTTGGATGCTTGAAGCAGAGCGGGTGTCCACACCTTTCCATTGCGGCAGTGAACCACTTGGTGAGATGCTTTAGTTAATTTGTGTGGAATATTATATATGTCTAGGAGTCTAGGATCATCGAACGGTTGTCGGGTGTGCAAGGGAGCTTCATAAGTAGTTTAAGGTAGTCCAGCAGGACACCCAGACATGATGGTCCTGGATTGCACCTATATAGCTTGGATTTGCCACCTCAAGTACATTGATGTGACCGGTTTGGGAGATAGAGGTAGACTGTAGAGTGCCCCGTTGAGTGGAAAAAACCACTGGTAGATGTTTTGGTCTTTCGGACCCTCAAGGGCTTTGATGGCTTGTTCAGAGATGTTCAGACCACTCCATGCCATAGAACTCGCTCAGACCACTCCATGCGATAGAACTGACGGAAAGCTCTCAAAAGCCTGGCAGACATACTTCAGACACTCTACCCTGTCAGTAGGGAGCCAGCGTCATGACCTCGAGCGTCTCACTCGTGGAGGCGGAGCTTTCTGGTGATGCCAAACGTCTTGGAGGTGTCGGACTCCTCAGGTTGGTTCCTGAAACATGGAAAAGTACCACCAGCGCAAGTCTTGGTGAAGCAAGTCTTTTTTTCTTTCAGACAATATGGATATATATATATATACATGGATTCTTTTTTGCGGGCACTGACAAGTATATAGGTTATGTAAGAAAGTGAGCCCTTAGCAACCCATGTTCCCTCCAGAAAAGCATGCGGTCCACTTTCGTTCTAGAAAATTGGTTCTAACTGGTTGATGGCTCGATTTTTAACCATTTGGTTGATGCTTCTTCGCTTGGCATGGTGCATCCACTCACAGACTCGTCTTTCTCCGAACGACGTCGGACGTCGTCTGAACATGGTAGACATGAGGACTGCTGAGAACCTGGTGATCCTCTTCGAGGGCCAACTGGTGGGGAGCCCCAAATGGGACAGGACAATGCAAGGAAACGATAGACAGATGATGCCGCAAAACCATGCAAAACCCATTTTGCAGTCCAAACGGCGCCCGACTTGCTCGGCAAAGTTGGGTGCGAACTTGAACAGAATCAGAAGGCAGAACTGCGAAGCTACAAGCGACTCATGTTCTTGAATTCTTCCAACTGTGGGGAGTGACTAGGAGCAAGAAGCTACTAGTAGCTCCTGGCATCGCTGCTAACAAGGGCATCGCTACTAGTAGCAAGAATGCGACTACTATATATAGCCATGCCTATTATATATTCCTTGTGCCTCGGACTTTGGGATCCGGCTCCAAAGCGACAGCCGTTCACCGTTGGACGTTCTGAAGAAGTTCCAAGAGAACGAGAGAGAGTGTGAGAACGAGAAGAACGAGTACGAGTGATGACTGCCAGAATGAAAGTTAAGTCTAGACCATTTTTTTGCTCCTCAGGGACTACCTTTTTTTTCCAGATTTTGCGGACTTTCTGTAAGCTTCGTGCTTAAAGAAGAGAGGGATAGTACCCCTGCATGGAAAAACCAGGCGTCCGTGTTTTTGCTTCGCAGGGTTTCACCAGGACCCTCTCCGTTGCTTGTCACCCCGGCCCCTCAGGTCGGGCCCACGCTCGAGGCGACGGATGCGGGCGACGGGTGGCGTGACTAACGGGTCCATGGGTCGCCTGATGAACTGATGGTGGGTCACAGGAATGTCTGCAGAAGTATGGAGAAGTCGTGAAAAAGAGGGCTTGACGGGCTTGATGACTAACACGAAAACAAGCTTTTGGTGACTTGCTTTGTCATTAAGCTCGGTGTGGATGACCAATGAACTCGAGGGCAGTGTCTTCAGTGCCTTCAGTGCCCTCAATGGACCGGACCTTCAAGATCCTTCAAGAGTATTCTACCCATAGCAACGAGACAAGACCAGGTAAGACGTTCCAGACTAACGTCCCTAGTAATGCCTTCCAGTTACCAAGATGTTGTTGAGCTTTGTCAACCACAGGCAAACAATCGTAAACCCATTAAACATCATCGTACACCCCCGGAACTCCAACAAATTGAAACAAGTGGTTCCCAGTACGGCCGGCTAGGAGTCTTTACATGAAGTATCATGAAGTCTTTCGGAGATGTGGGGGAGAACGCAATGGTTGTTTGGTTCCTTTGAGGGTTTCGGAGGCTCTCTTTCTTGGGTGGCTTCTTGCTGCTTGATCTCCGAAAGTATGGTTGGGCTTTCCCAAGTTGATCCACCAGCATCCACAAAGGGACGCAGTTTTTCGTTCTTTGCACTTGGTAGAGCTAAATAGATCTTTACCATCAATTACCATCAGTATCATATGCCACATATCTTCTACCAGATTACCATCTTCTACCCAAGCGAGGATCCTCGTTGACTCGCTTGGTCACAGGCGTGGAACCCTCAGCAGGACACTTGGCCAAAAGGATCCTGTGCCTATGCTGAGGCGTGGGTGGTTTGCGCGGAGGAGGAGGAGGCAAAGACAAAATCGATTGTGCCAAGTAGTTTTGTATAGTTCTGTTAGGCGTTTCCCATTTGTGGATGATTGTTTTTTCGCCATGGCCGATGGCCAGCGTCGTAGCTTGCATCAGCTGTCGTATTTGAAGGTGGGCCCGGCGAGATTCCCTCCACCTGGCCCCACGCTTTCACACCAGCCCACATGTGGTCTCGTGAGAGTCTCGGCCAACACCTGACAGGCGGACTGCCACAAATCGGGTGGCCAAAGTCCAGAGTTCGCCCGATCACAGTGGTCCTTGCCGGGGCCTTTTCGATTGGACCAGAGGGGGAAGGATGGGACGGCATCACGCACCACAGAGGCCGCGTGTGTGTTTTGTCCAAGTGCGTGTGTGTTTCGGGAACTCGTGGAAATGTGGTTTCTTCATAATATATTATATGAGGTCAGTTTTGAATGAAGAGACCTTCATGGTACACATGAGTGCATCTTGAATAAATTAGGGTGACCTCTCCATGCTCCTTGGGAATGGGAGAGCGGAGATGAGAGGAGAGCAGGTCGACAACTGACAACTCCTTGGGATTTCCAAGACCCAGGCTTCAGGCAAATTGCTTTATAGTGGCTGGAGAGCTACCCCCGGTGACATGATCATGATGGGGAACACGATGGATGTTGTCCTCGCGACATGGTTCCCTATAGTTTTGTTTTGTGTTTTCCCATCAAGCTATTAATGTATTAATCTAGCTCGGTATCACTTTTTTTCCATGTTCTTCCACCCTTAAAATTCAAGAGTGCATGGGCTGGATGGGACTCGGCTAAAGCATTTGCAGGCACCTCTGGGACTCTGAAGCCACTTCCTTGTCCACCCACCGGATCGCAGCTTCGCCTAACCGCCGGAGGCTGTTCTTCCGGAACTGCCACAATGTGACCTTGCTGGGTGCCCGCGGGCCGCATGGGCACTTGGAAGGAGGCGCGACTGTCACGGGTCGTGTGCGGAGCGATGGGGGAGTGGAAGGAAAACGAAACGACGTGGATGGGGTTGGAAGACGCTCCAGGTGGAGTTGAAGGTGTCTTTGGTGGGGGGGTGGTCTTGGGGTGGTCTTTGGTTGTTTCATGTGGTTTCCCTCGTTAATTTACATGTGCACCCAAATAGGGAGACCCAAAGTCAAATCCCATGGTGTTGGTGTTGGTTTGAATTTGGAAGAGATCATGTCAATGTGATTCCCTTTTCACCCTTTTGAAAGAGTCAATCAAGCAGTGGGCGAAAGCAAAGAAGAGTGCAATTACAGCTGGCGTTCTTCAGAAGACCACCATCAGCCGCTGCGTGGCCGCTGCTACAAGAACCGGTCCCGAGCAGCCGGGTTCCCCACGTAAGGTTCAGTATACAGTATGGTGGAGTGACCTTATAGGACCCTACGTACTCAATGACCAATATAGGGTTCTTCAACCTTTGCTGGACATGGAGCCCGAGCAGGATTTCAAGCAGCGTCTTCGCGGTTCTTGTGCAGCGATGATGTCCAGGCCTCCGCGCACATGGGCCCAGCTTCTGGCGGGTTCGTAATCAGCGGCCACAGGTGAGGGGCCTAGTAGGGCCTGAGGGACTCAGGTGAAGGGCCACCGTTTGGAAGACGGAAGACCAGGGTAAAAGATACGCAACCAGGACTCACTTCCTTTGAATGAACAAGTGATTCAGACTTGTACGAGCTATGTAGTCTATAGTCATACACGGTGTGTGTGTGTGTTCTATCATATCCTTTTTTCTCCGTAAGGAGACAGTTGATGAAGTTTGTGATGAGGAGATGCAAGAGACCAGTTTTTGCGGCTTTTGCCCGGCTTGCGGCTGGGCCCTTTGATCCTCAACACACATCTCCATGTCCTGCCATTCCCGGCCGGTGTTCCGGCCGCTTCATCCTCCCGGTCGGACCGGTGGATTCTGGGCTGCTGAGGTGAGGGGCTACTGCTTGCTGAAGATGGACTCCTGTGAGGCCGAAGACTTGACAGAAAACGCCAGAAACAACGTGAGGCGCCCTAACAATCAATCCATGCCATTCGGCTTACATGTCGTTTATTATCTACTATTCCATAGTCTTGAACGTTTGAAGTTTGGCAATGTTTCCTGATTGATTTGGAGTCCTGAATCACACCATGGCCGGCCAATCGATTGCACCTGGATAGAGCAGAGTGCCAAGCAAGTGTTCAACAGGGTGCGGCAGTCCATGAAACATGGCCTGACATGAGAAATGGCCATGTACCTGTACCCCTTTAGTAGGAGCCAGCGGGCTACCATAGGAGTTTATTGCAGGTGATGCCGGACTCCGGGACAGACGGAGGAGCCCTGTGCACGACCGAAGATGTCCCTGTGCGACAGAGCCCTGTGAAACGTCATTGACAGAGCTTTTGGAGCCCTGATGAACGTGAAACGTTTATCCACTCGGAAGATCTTGAGATGTGACCCAAGCAAAGCCCAGGAACGCCCCAGCATTCAAGAACGTCAGTCATTAAGGATTGATGTAAGGATGCAGAAGCTGGAGCAACTGGAGTACAGGCCCCCGTAGAACCAGCATTAAAGGGTCACGCATTCACACACAAACAAAACCACTTGGTCAACAAAGGGGGCTGGTTCCAGGAGAGAATTACTAAAATGCGTGGATGGGGCTGATTGATACTGGCACGCCTTGTGCTCGTTTTTCGTCGACAAGTACCTTTAAGGACCTTGATTGTAGCGTCCTTGGGCAAATCGCAGATTTCTGGGAAGCACTCTAAACAGACAGGCCCAAGTAGCTGTTGAAGGGAGGCATCCTGGTTCCTCCCTTCGATCTCGGATCTCGTCAGCGGGTTGGAGCGCCAGGGCATGCGCATCTCTGACCTTCACTTCCATGACTCCCCCATGTACCAGGCACCGGACATATGAGTGAAGTAGAAGTGGTGGCTGCATGAAACATGAACAATCCACGGAGCAGTTGAAGAATGCACCAGGTGGATTCATGTGGATTCTCTTTTTAGGAGAGCGGCCATGACTCAAGCCTATACAACCGCCTTTAAACCCGCGTTTGACGTGTTTCAACTGTTTCAACATGCCAGCACACCTGACCGCTGGATGTTCCACGCTAGGTGGTGGTGGCCCGGAGTCATGGGGTAGAGCTGGAAGGCCGGACGTGGGGAGTTCGGGGACAAAACCAACGACGGAACCTTTTGGAAACAGAGCATCCCATTGGAAACAGACCAAACTTGGAGAAACCATTTGGGGAATGAACCGGGGGACAACGGAAGCATTTGGAAACAGACAAAAAAACACATGATTTTGTACATAGGTATGGAAAAGGGAGAGAGCTGGGAGACGCCCCATGGAGAGAGACCCGAAAAAACCCACAGAGCGAGATTCCGGGTGCGGCCTGATCAATAAGCATACCTGAAAGGATTTTATATCGGGCTGGCCCCTGAACATGTTGTTTAACTTTAATAAATATTCAGGTCCCATCGGTCCCAATGACTGTTTAAGCTTGATTGTTGTTTGCCGAAAGAGCTTTTAAACTGAAAGATGTTTTGGCCTCACGCTGGTTGGGTGTTTGAACATAAGCTCCTTTTTGGAGCATCCCAGGTCCTAGGACCTGCAGCCGTGACTTCCTAGTTGAATGGAACTGATTTCCGGAGGTCCATAAAGATCCCTCATTTGGTGCTTAGAGCCCCTGAGGATGACCCTTTAAGACATATGTTTTGATCCAAATACCGCAAACAGGGTGGACTATGGTAAACGGCACTGTGGTCATCCCAAGCAAAACTGGCTGCATTATGCAAAGAAAATGCATGGAAGTGATTGCACCGAATCTGTACGTAGAACATGATTTCCAAATGTATAATGCGGCCTTAAATCGATAATTTTAATGTTTTCCGTGGTTCCTTGGCTATGCCAACGCCTTGCTTCTTTTGACGATGCTTCATTGCAAGGTAAGGCTGGGAAAAAGTGTTCCTTCCTATCGTGACCGGCCATGGGCAGCGCTGTCATGGCCAGCATCATAATGGTTCACGACTCCTGGGTGTTTCGTTGATTGTTTTGCTTCTTCGATCATGTACTGCAGGCATTTGGGAGTTCTTTTTGCTTGCACAGAATCGGCAAAATGATGTGATATGGAAATGGTTTAACACCCTTTTGCTCGGACACGTTCAGTTTGTTTAAGACCTTGCCACCCCGGAGACCTTCCGCAAGCCTTCCGAACGCAGAAATAGGGATGTGTGCGTTCGAAGGGTGCCTTTTTGGGCATCCCCAAATCGGAGGCTTTGAAGGTTCGCAAGGGGCGAAAAGCGGGGTAAGTACTGGAACTGGTGCGATCGAAGCACCGGAACCACCTGGTTCTGTGGATTCTCTTCTTTTGGCCCAAGGCTTGATTTCAGAGCCCTCAAAGTCGAAAGACAGGAGTGGTGAGGAATCCATGCTGGTATCATTTGGTAATTATCCATATGCCCAAACTAGGAGCGATCGGACGCTACGAACGGAGCACAAGGCATCGCTACTAGGAGCGATCGGACGCTACAAACAGGGCTCCTGGCCTTACTAGGAGCGATCGGACGCTACTACCTTCCCACCGACCGGTACCGACTCTCCTGGGCACCCACCCTGCACGCCGTTCTCCGAAGCCGGAGCCCACCGGTCCAGGGCTCCGTATCACCTTGTCGAACCAAGCTCTGGGCGACCAGGGCGCGCACAACACGGACCGGTTCGCAGAATCGCGAGCGCACAATGCCGTGGAGCTGGGGAAGCATTTGAAGAGGGACATTTGAGGCAAAAGGAGAAGCTTAGGAGCTTCTTGTTACTAGTAGTAATGGCCTCCAACCCAAGAGCCATGGCCTCCAACCTATATAGTAGCTTCTTGTTCTAGTACTATAGTAGTAGTAGTAGTAGTAGTAGTAGTAGTAGTAGTAGTAGTAGTA